TGAGACAAAGCTGAAGGCCCCACTGAGAGTTTCATGAGCAACCAACATCCCAAAGACTGAACCCTCTGCTCTCTTGTCCAAACCTAGCAGTTTTTTGCCCTAGATACTCGGTAACAGAATTAACGAAACACCTGTTTAAACCTCCAACCAGAAGCCTGAACCATGCAAAGCAATCAGCATAGCACAGACCGAAGTCCTGACAGTTAGAAACGCCTCAGACCAAAACACCACACGAGACCTGAGCCATGCACATGCGCAGGATTGGGTTTCTAGGTTCCTTGGTTGAAGTTCAGGATTTGGAGTGCAAGTTTGGGCATTGCGGAGGAGAGCTTCGGGACCAGCCCTCAGCCGGGAACTCTGGCAGTATGCAGTTGGGTTCAATATATTATATCATATTAACTGGTTGCATGAGCTTGAAGAGAAACTGCGTTCATCCACCACAATGATGCCCCCCGATCCCATTGCCAGGTGGCATCAAGCCGAAATATCCGAGGTTTCCATGGTGGACCACCTTGGCCCTGGAAACTTGCATCGTAAGTCTTGAACCAACTCCCTGGCCATCTTTCCATGCAAAGAACACATAAGACGAAAGCCCTTGTAGCCCACCAGCAGTTTCCAGCACACTGGGGCACTCCATACAGTTCGACATCAGTAATGTCCTAGACGGTATTGTCGTATGCTGTAAAGCGCTAACACTATAAGCCCTACTTAAACCCTCCAAACTTTTCTGAACAAGGACTGCAAAACACTAAATCCTGAGAGTTGGTCCTGGTATTCCTGCTTCGTGCGCTCCATTTTCGCCGCCCTGGCCTGCCTCTCCTGCTACAAAGACTACGGTCGCTGTGAGGATTGTACTGACATTACCTATGTGTTGCTAGGGTCGCCATGATGACTGCTATGACTACCTGACGTAGTCTACTGTTCTCATGACCATGACGATTATAACCGTGCTGGCAGTTTTGATTGCTACGGCCGCCAGCATTCCGACCATTTTTGACATTGGCACTCCGACCATTTGTATACACGACTATCATGGCTACGATAGCGGCTGTGGGCTATTCCTTCGGGTTTTGGGGATGTATGAGAATATGTCTATGGGATACTATAAGACTATAAGGGGATACTACTAGTATTTATTCCGACCCTTGTATAACTCAATATCTTAGCCATCAAAGGAGAACATCCAAAAACCAACCCCCAAGACTTGTGAAGATCAACCGTCAAACATCTACAAATAGGCCGCAACAAACGCCTTGAGACGGACGCGTTCGATCCCCTGTGCAAGCTGCCCGTCGGATTTGTTAAAGCCGCCTCCCGACAAATGTCGGGCCCTCGAATCCTACTGAAACCTATGCTGCACAAAAACCCTATAAACCCCGTTGTGGTTGTCAAGATGGGTATGCACCGCCTCCGGTTTTGCCGGCCCCAAGTACGCAAGTGCTCGAGTGCATATTCCGTTTGGCCCATTAAGAGCTTTGAGGTTTATGGCCGGAGGCTCCTGCAGGAACTGATGCGCGCAGGCTGTTTGAATCCTTGGAGCATCCTGCTGTCCAAGAGCGCTTGGATGATGGTGTGCATCTTTTTACCGATGGTTCAACCCAACCTCATGCATTTGTTCCGGTTAGTACCTGCGCTGTTGTCCTTGCGGATCCATGCTCGCTGGACAACGCAAGCGTAGCGAGAGAGGTATGCCCCCCCGGCGACAAGACAATTTCCGTGCTGAGCTGTATGCTGTTCTTGTTGCAGTACAGACCGCGCCTTCTGCCACGGTGTATTCCAATCACCTTTCGGTTGTTTTGGGATTTAGGGTTTTGCTGGCTAGAGCATGGGTCACTCGCGCTTATTGCAAGCACGGACAGGCTGGCGAATACAATGCGTTAAACCGCGCAATAAACCGAAGCGTGGTGAATGCTTTGCTGAGCGTTGGCAGCTCTGCCACAATGAGGCAGCAACATCTATGTATCGAGAGCTGCCACACAAGGTAGCCGACGTAGAAGATGCAAAACTTGTGTTTCCAGTGCAAGAAGTATTGGTCGGGGGACCTCTCGGTCGCATGAGCAAGCACAGAGTCTGGCAAAAAAACTACTTGTGCAGCAGGTCTTGCTGTGTCCTCGAGTGCATCTATTCAAAACGGTTGAGTTGTAGGTTTTGGTTTCCAGTCGCAAGACATCGCGGATGCTTTGCTAGGACCTCGATTTTGTGGGTAGTTGCCTGGATGAAACGGGTGGAATCTTCTGAGTGGGTTTCCATCTTGGAGCTTTATTTACATTTTGTACTGTCTACAGGATGGCTGGCCCCCGTCAATGTGGCAGCATGGAATGCTGGCAGATTGCCCTTGGCCTTACTCACAAGCTCAGCGCCGCAAGCGTTCGTCTGCGAAGCTGATTACGCTTCTCTGGCCCTGAGCAGGCCACGGCTTGGTAAACAAGCTACTGTTTTCCTGCACTCGTTTAAAGACGTCTGTAAACGGCTTGGAATTGAAATTAAGATCGAGCGACATCAGACTCTACAACTTCTTTGCGTGTACAGTGCCAGTGGCTTCGACGTGTGTTGTGCCGAAGGATATCCAGCAGCCGCCACGTGAGCTATTTCGTAACGTTTTCATGGTGTGGATTACCCCGCCATCACTCGGGCTATGATTTGGGCACCGGTACAAGCACTGCATTGTCCTGTTCCATTCCGTAGTCCTGTTGAGGTCTGGAATTGTTAATTATACAAATTTGACAAGAGCAGCATGCAAACGGCGCAATGCTTGAATTTGTAATTAACACCCTAAACCCCTACACCCCTAAACCCCCTGACCTGTATCGCGTCTTCAACCGGCTCGTCCCGAAGCTTCTCGTTCTCGGCCTGGCAATCCAGCACTCAGGGCCCCGAGAGTCTGTGAGGAAGGGAATACAATAATATCAAAATAAATATAAATATAAATATACAGATATATATATATATATATGATATATGATATAACATACATATGCACAATATAATATACTTGTACATATAACTTGGTGGCGAACGTGCAGGGCCGCTATCTTTTGATGGCACTGATGAAATGTTGAAGTCAAGCACGATGGAAACGGAACTGCAACTCATGGCTTCATTAACCATCCAAGCCTGCTACCATACGAACCAATAGTCTAAACGCCAAGCTTCACTTCACTTGCAGCTGAGTTGGGCCTCTTGCTGTTCCCGCCATGCAGCCACTAGCTGGCGTCTCTCCGCATGCAGGGCTTCCTGGCAAGAGTCGCCATTGAGTGCTGGAGGCCTAAAGCAATCCAAAAAACAGCGCTGATACAATCGAACAGCACAACAATGAATTACAGAAGTAATTCTCATGCTCCGTTTGGCCATAATCCGGGCCATGGTGAGAGCCAATGATAGCATGTTGAGGGTCATGTTCTCCGGCCCAGGTGTCCTCCTCAAAACCTGAAAGAGCAAGCCCTACGCAACGCAGTGTCAATCGGCAAAGCTTCAACAAGCAGTTCATAATACCTAGACCTTCCATCTACCCTCCATGAGATTTTGAATACCTATGATTTGGAGCCCTTTACCCTTATTTCAGGGTCCTGGTAACTACCTTGAAGCCCTGGAGGCTGCCACAAAACCTGGGTTTAGAGTTTAGGGTTTAGGGGTCCAGGCCCAGAGATCCGGCTTTTAGGCATCCTGGTCTCGTAAAAAAACTTATGGAAGGCTTTGGTTTAGGGCCTAGGGTTTTGGGATCAGGGCTTGGGCTCTAGGGCTTATAGGGCTTAGGGTTTAGGGTTCATACTTGGAGGTTCATGGGTAGTTATAAGTGGGGTTATAAGTGTTATAAGTCATAGTCGCGGACTTATAAGTCCACTTATAGCTACCCATGAACCTCCAAGTAAGAGCAGCCATCATCATAAAAGAAAGAGCTGTTCCTTACTTCCCCAATCGGCTAGGGAAATAAAAGATTAGACTTTCAGATTACTACTAACCTTATAAGAGCCCCAAAAGTTTTAAAAGTTGGTTATTGGGGAACTAAGATTCCGAGGGCGCCTGCTCAGAGCCAAACCCTAAACCCTAAACCCTAAACCGTGGGCGCCTGCTCGTAGATCCACTTGCCGTGGGCCACTAGCGCCTCATGGCTTTTGCCCGGGAGGAGCAGCTGCGCCTGCTTGGAGGTTCATGGGTAGCTTTAAGTGGGGGGGGGGGTTTAGGGTTTAGGGTTTAGGGTTTAGGGTAGTTACAAGGGGGTTATGGGGTTCCTTTAAGGGTTCCTTTAAGGGTTCTGTAGGGTCTAGAAAGGTCCCTTGCCTTTTTTTGAAACCCTAAATCCTAAACACTGCGGAGTGCTTAGCTTGATGTATTGAGCACCTCCCAAAACCTTGGATTAGGGGTTTAGGGTTTCGGGTCCAAGAGCCCGTGCCTTTTTGAAGGGGAGGGGTTTTGGGTTGTGGGTTGAGGGGGCACTGTAGGGAACTCAATAAAGATATGAGTGTATTGAGGGTTTGGGGTGTAGTATATAACTGAAGTAGACTATGGGAAAATCGTAACACTAGTGCTAACTTCTTCAGACCCCTACAAGTATCTTGAGAAATACCCTTCCAGTACCCGCACAGCCATGGGGCCGCATGTGGGAATCGTCAAAGACTGAGCTCAATCTAGGATCGCTTCTTTAGGGCAGTTTCACGCTTCTGGACGAAGCTTAGCCTCTGTTCCAGGCTGGGGCTCAAGATGTCTTTCCCGAAGCCTTGGTGGACTTAGGTTCGGATTTTGCCAGGGGTGTAGGACGCACGGATCTGCGGAATCTATGCTCCTACCAGATCAGATGAAGAGCCTGATTCAGAGCCTGCAACTCTAAGCCCCAAAACCCTGAAAGCGTACCAATTCGGACACCCACCATAAAAATAGACTAGGCTACACTATGTTTTGCTATACGTCACTATTAAAAAAAAAACATACCAGAAGAGAACATGATATCTGCCTCCCATAGGACATCGAACCCCCCATCTCCCCTCTTTTTTCTCTCTCGGAGGCTACTTCTTCGACTTCTCCAGGAGCCCTTTGCCAGGGCGGAAAAGCATCGCGACGCCCTCAGAGGCAGATACCTCCCAGGACTCCTCGGACTTGGGTTCAGGGTTTAGGGTTTAGGATGCAGGGTTTGTGGTTCAGGGTTTAGGGTTTTGGGTTCAGGGTTCTGGATTGCTCTTTATTACCTTGCTAAAATTATAACTTTTAGTACCCCTAATTTCAAAAAAAGGCTAATCCTAAAAGTGATAAAGCTATAAAGTGACTGTAAAGTTCAACCAAGGGTTTAGGATGCAGGGTTTGTGGGTTCAGGGTTTAGGGTTTTGGGTTTAGGGTTCTGGGTTCAGGGGTCTGGGTTTAGGCATCAGGGTTTAGGGTTTAGGGTATGTTGGTTTAGGGTTTAGGGTTCAGGGTTCAGGGTTTAGAGTTGAGGGTTCAGGGTTTAGGGTTCAGGGTGTAGGGTTCAGGGTGTAGGGTTCAGGGTTTAGGGGTTCAGGGTTTGATATGCTCACCTGAAAGATCAGAATGGGTTCGGGGGAGCATTGTCGGATAACTGCTCAAGGACAACAGAGGGATCTTCCGAAGCATGGTTCAGACCTCTAAGGTAGGGGCTTTAATAATTAGGAAAGAGTTTGGGGCGTATATTATACTAGAGTTATAATAGGGAAGCCCCAAAGTAATTATAGAGGCCCCTAGATTACACTTGCCTGCTTAGGCGACGTAGAAGATGGGGGTTCGGAGCATGGGTTAAGGATGTCAAGGGGTTGACGGTTTAGGGTTTAGGGTTTAGGGTTTAGGGTTTAGGGTTTAGGGTTAGGTGGATTTGAAAGCTTTCCTTCTCTCACATCGATGGACGCTTATGCAGACTCGGACGGCTTCGAGCTCAAACCCAAAACCAGCAACTCTAAAATCTCGGATCCTAAGGCCGGAGCCCCAGACTACATTCTGACCACTCAACCCCAAGATGTCGTTACAACAGGCCGGTTTAGGGTTTAGGGTTCGGGGTTTGGGGGTTAGGACTGCCACAACCCCACCCAGACGAGGCCGAGTAGCACGGTGCACGTCGCACTGCCAGACCTGTACAGAGAGGTCCCAGACTTGTCGAGTGTGCATACGGATCAACACACATGGCCTGTGTGTGGGTAGGGCTCACGGTCACAGAATAAAATAGGGGCCAAAATCATTAGAATAGGGTTTTGGGGGTTCTCATATTATAGTAAGGAACCCCCCAACATGGGCTGGGGTGTCCAAGACGCACTGGGTTTTGCGTTCAGCGCGCACACGCCCAAAACCTCTTCTGGCGCGTTCAACGTGCACACGGGGTCCCCGATCCCTGTGACTGCTTACACTCTTGAGACATCACAGGCTTCGGGGGTCCCCGATCCCTGTGACTGCTCACACTTTTGAGACATCTCAGGCTTCGGGATTCCCCGATCCCTGTGACTGTTGACACTGTTGAGACACACAGGCCCATCACGTTCTGCCAGGCCCACA